CAACTTCTAGATGAAAGGAACAGAAGAGAGCCACAGACACCTCTCACTGTCCTGCCCTAACCCCTGCAGTCTCTAGCTTGTCCCAAGAAGAAAGCAGGCAGGACAGAGGCCTCTGCCTCCAGACTGACACTGGAATGAGTGGCTATGACTTTGGGACTGGTCCCAAGGACGCCCTCAGCAGCCTAAAAAGCTTTTTGGTCACTCACTGGTCAGCAGTATTCACCAGCTTGGTTAAAATGCAGATTTCAGGGCCCTGCCCTAAAGACAAACAGGGACTCTGAGGTGCTGCAACCAAATCCCCAACCACGTAGACACTCCCTGGTCCCGCCACACAGGCTTTTTCCTGGGCCAAGTGGGGTGAGTAGAGAGAAGCTTCCAGGAATCTCACTTTTGTCTTCTTTCTCAGTGAAACACCTGTTTGTGACAGTGACTGAATCCTTTGAGAACAGCCAGCACATCTCACCCCGCAGGGAACCCTGCTGCTCAGACCCCGTCTCCTTCCACTACCCTAAGTACTTCCAGCCCCGCTTGGAGGTGACTGTGCCCAAGAGTCACTGGGACTGTTTGGTATGCAGTACAGTGGCTATGATGGCAACAGGGGATGGAATTGGGGCCTGGTGGATGCTGTAAGGATGCCCTCCCCCTTCCTCCTACTCCCTTTCCAAGTCCACCTGTCCTTCCAGTTTGACTGCTGCAGTGCACACAAGAATGGTCCTGTCTGCCAGCCCCTCAACTGCCTTTCTGATGGGCAAGCTGCAGTCCTGCCTGTGGTAAGTGCCTGGGTCTGGGAAAGGGCTTCTGAGTGACTCAGCCTGGAGCTTCTGTGTTGGGAGACCAGGCGAGCCCAGGGCACACAGGGGAAAGAGGACATGTCAGGTCTCTCAGGAAGCACTGAGAAGTCTTGGGAGGCCAGAGATGAGGAGCCACAGAACATGTGGAAGCCGAGTGAAGATGGTGGGAAAGGCTATGTCCAGGGAAGAAAGAAGGGTTGCAGTGCGCATGTGTGCTGAGTCAGGTCAGGTGGGCCACACAGTCAGACTCTAGCTCTTTCGTTGGGATCACTTGGCTCTGAATTGTTATCTGTGACAAGTTGTTCATCTTTCTATCCTCAGGGTGAGAATTATGAATTACATATGAAGTCCACATCCTGGTAACGTACCCTTTCTGTCCTTCCCTCTAACATCCACACCAATAGGTGCAAAGCGGTTCCTCTTGTGGTTTCTGTGTACATGTCCCTGATGGCTAGTGGTGGTGAGCATCTTTCATGGCTTATCGGCCATTTGCACACCTCTCCAGAGATACATCCATTCAAACCGTTTGCCTGCTTCTTAAGTGAGCTGCTTGCCTTAAGTTGTAAAATTTGATGTATATTCTGGGTACAAATTCCTTATTATAAAATATTTAAGTTGCAAATATTTTCTTCTATTCAGTGTGTTGTGTTTTTCTGTTCTTGATGACGTCCTTTTGATGGAGCCCATTAATTTTCTCCACTGCTTGTATTTTTGGTGTTGTATCTAAGAAATTGCTTCATAATCCAAGATCAAGATGATTGACTGGGCTTCATGAACTGGGTGTTGGAGGATAGAGGGATATAGGTAGGCAAAGGAAGGAGGATTCCCATGAGGCCTACTGCCTGGGCAGAGGTGCAGAAATCAGTTCCTCCTGGGACTCTGAGTGCCCAGCAGGCCATCCAGGAAGTAGCTTGAGGTGATCTTGGACAGGTCAGTTTAGGCTCTTAGCCTGGACTTGTTCCTGGCAGCATGTGATAGAAACGGGGCAAGAATTGCACATGTCACGACAGCACCTGCCCCTGGCCTTCAGGACCTATGGGGATTGTACAATGACGTCAGAGACATGAAGAACTTTTGTCGGCATCACAAATTCATTAAGAGTGTGATTCTGTGATCAACGAGGGCTTAATGAGGAATGTAAGCTCCGTGGGAACATGGAGCTGGTTTACCGAGCTCAGAAGAGTAAATACTATAGAACCTTGTCTAGAGGATTTGCTAAAAGGATCTCAGGGCCCCTCTTCATCCATGTTGGGCCTCAGACTATTGAAGGTACTGGGGGAAGCTCTCCTGAACTTTCCAGACCCTGCTGACCCTTCAGGGACCAGAGGGCACAGGTATCAATGAGTCCCTATTACAAGCAAGCTGTTCTTTTGTGAGCTGCCAAGGTAGAATGTGCCCACTGAGGCTTGGGGCTTCCCATCTCTTATGGCAGTTAGTGCTGATGATGGTCCAGAGGGGTAAGCACCATTTTACAGATAAGAATGCAGAAGCCCAAGGTTGCAGATACAGTATACAGCAGAACTGGGCTTGTGACCTGGGTCAAAGGAACCCTAAAGCCACATCTGGCCCTTGAAAGTGGAGATGGGGGAACTGCTCAGCCAGGGTCCTCTGTCCCACAGCCCTGACACGCCAGATGTACGACTGGGCTTCAACCTGTGTCCTGAAGAGCTGGAATTTCTGGAAAAGCGGAGGGTGGTGGTGGCCAAAGCGCTGAAACAAGTGCTGCAACTGGAAGAGGACTTGACCGAGGATGAGGTGAGTAAGCAGAGGAGCCGGCCTGGGTTCAGGGGTGCTCTGGGCCACGCTGGTCCTCGCAACCCCACACCCCGCCAGTCACCAAGCCCTTCCCTGCCCTCAGCAATCATGGCACTGCCTCTCTGCCATGGATGTTCCTCTTGTTCTGGCTATAACTCCGATATGCATTCAGCAAGGCAGGAGAGGCCAAGTAGAAAGAGAAAGAGGTCTCCTGCTGCTCCTGTGAGCTGGAGCTGAGTGACTGAGCCTGCATTAATGACACAGGGGCCAAATGGCCTCTATGCCCCAGCTGGAACTGTTCTAAGCTCTATCACCTGGCACACCTCCCCACTGACCCGAAAGGCCACGGTCCTTCATGCTTCGGCCTCTCTGCCCTCTAATCTGCACACATAGACAGTAAGGCATCGGAGAGAAGCAGCTGCCACTCCCAGGACCAAGGGCTTTTTTCCTATGGAGGTAGACAATGTGCCTCTGCCAGGGCCCTGTGCCACCTCTCTTATGGGGCCTGGGGCCCACACTTCCCGGAGTGGCAGGCCCAGCCCCTGAATGTCACCAGCTCAGTCTGCTCTTAGTGCAGATGGAGACTACGGGCGCAGAGGGGCACTTGTAAATGGAGTTCAGCCAACTGAAGGCTCTTCCTGCCAGTGCCAAATGAAGACAGAGTGAATTTTGCCCAAAAGCCCTCTTCTTCCTCCTGTCTTCGGAAAGAAATATACTGTGAGCATTTTAAACCTATGTTAACTCACAAGTGTCCCCCTGCCCCTCTCCCTAGAGCAGATTTGCTTCTTCCTGCTATTACAAACACAGTAAAGAGTGAGCATTTGTCATGGTTCAGCCCTGAGCCTAGTGTCCTAACATTATACACATCCACAGAAGTCATGGGGTTGCACTGTTGAGACCCCATCTCCCTCCCACCCTATCCCTAGTTCTATCATGTATCACCTGAGACCTGCAAGGGGGTGATGTGAACCTTTTGAGCTGTGGCTACCTGTGACTCACCAGAGCCCTTCCCAACACCACCACTGCTCTGTGAAGGGCAGTTGATGCTGTTCCTCTCCCCTCTCTCTGCTCTCTAACCAGCTTGTGCTCCCTGCTGTTCTGTCTGGGCTGCTGTCTATCATCCCAGGTCCCCTCCTACCACCCCTCCCCTGATGCCCACCAGCAGTCTGCCTCCTCCATACTGCAGGTACCACTAATAGCCATCATGGCCACCGGAGGTGGAGCAAGGTCCATGACTGCCATGTATGGCCACCTGCTGGGACTGCAGAAGCTGAACCTCCTGAACTGCAGCAGTTACATCACTGGCTTGTCTGGGGCTACCTGGTAAGAAGCTGGGAGCCACTGTCCCATGGAGTTCACAGCAAGCTGCAATGGGGGTGGGGTGTGTGGTGTGGTTCTGTCCCCTCCTAGCCAAACAAAAGGGCCTCAGGACACCAGGAAACTTAACCTTTAGAGGCTCAGTGTCTAAATCTACAAACTGGGGATAATAGCACTGACCACTTGGGAGTGCAACAAGACTGTGATAGGCGCTCAAAGTTCTAAGAACGCAAAGCCACTACGTACATGGCCATTACTGGCAGTGCTGTGGTAGGAATCCAGGAACATGGCGGCCAATGCTGAGTAAACCTCTGGTACCACTGACCCCATCCTACTAAGACAATGTGGCTGCCCACTCTCAGGACTGTACAAGCCTCTTGTGGTCGGGGGCTGGCCCTAACACTGTGGCTTTTCCTCCTGCAGGCCCCCGTCCTATAACATGTCCACTCCCCTGTCCTGCCCCGCTACCTCACACAGTTTGAGGGGAGCAGTAGGACCTCATGAGGGCTCCCCTTCCACACGCTGCTGGGGACCAGGGGGAGAGAGTGTGGGCCCCTGATAGGATTCCTGATAGGGTTCATGAGAGACAAAAATGTCTTATGACTTTTTAAATTAGAAAAAAAAAAATGGACTTCTAGGTTAAAGAAAATGTTTTGTTTTGGTTTGGTTTGGTTTGGTTTGGTTTGGTTTGGTTTGATTTGGTTTGGTTTGGTTTTTGAGACAGAGTCTTGCTATGTAGTCCAGGTTGGCCTTAAACTCAAGGTGATCCTCTTGCTTCAGCTTCCTGAGGCAAGTGATATAACATCACTATATTTGTCTTAATATAGTAGAATTATAACATTTGATTTTTAACATTTTTCTGGTGGAAATATAAGAGCCACCAAAATATAAGAGCCACCAAAGTCATCGTGTAGCCCTAGCTTTGGGTGGCTGGGGATCTGGGACCGCCCAAGGGCTCTCAGCCAGGGCTACCTTCCACTGTGGCCATGACTGGTAGGCCAGGGAGCCCTGGAGGTCTCTTTGTCCCTTTTACCCTGGAGGAGCTCTGGGAGCCTCTTCTCTCCCCTTTGAGCAAGCAGATGTGAACCAGCCCTTGAAAACTGTCAGGGCCTGGAGGCTTCAGCCCAGGTGGGATAGAAGCAAGGCTGGTAGTTGTTGGTGTGGCCTTTATCTGAGCACGGGCGTCCCTCGGTGTCAGAGGGGACTCCACTCCAGGGCCTGCCCCTCCAAGATACCTAAATCCACAGATGCTCAAGACCTTATAGGAAGTGGCTAGTGTTTGCATGGAATGTACATGCTGCTCCGGTGTACCCTGAGCATCCCTAGGTTACTGTAATACCAAATACAGTGCTAACACTATGTAAGTAGGTGGATGTAAGTAGTTGTCATGGTGTCTTATTTAGGAAGCAATAAGAAGAAAGGAAAGGCCATACAGTGGGTTCAGTACAGAGGCAACTGTTTTCAAATATTTTGGTCCATGGTTTGTTAAACATGCAGATGAAGAACCAGAGGACAAAGAAGACCCAACATGATTTTACAGCTAGGGCAATGCAGTAATTTGAGGGTCACTCAGCTAATGAGTGCAGACCAGGAGTTTGAACCCAGTTCAGGATCACTATTCTTTATGCTAGAAGCCACTCCAAATAGTAGGCCATAGGATAACTTGCTTCCAACAAGGTCAAGGGATATCTACCCTCTTTCCACCCTTGCTGCTATGGCATAGACACGAAATGGGGAGGCAGAAAATAAGAAGAACCTTAGGCCCCACCAGGGAAGGTGGGAGGCTAGAGGGAGCCCTGACCTGGGGAAAGAGCAGGAAATATTCTTTCTTTAAAAAAAAAAAAAAATCAGTACCGAGGATTGAATTATTTCCACTGAGCTGCATCACCACTTCTTCTCCTTCTTCTTTCTTCTTCTTCTTTCTTCTTCTTCTTCCTCTTCTTCTTCTTCTTCTTCTTCTTCTTCTTCTTCTTCTTCTTCTTCTTCTTCTTCTTCTTCTTCTTTTTT